GGAATGGGATTTTGTTCTTTATTGTGCTAAAATGGAAGATGTTATACTTGCTTCCTAAAAATGCTAAAGTTAGAGATTTTAGACTAGCTTCTTGAGGCTACTTTCCATCTGTAGTAACAATACAATCATTAAACACATTAAAATACAGTTCAATAAAAAGTTACAATAGTAGCTACAGTCACAAAGTACACAATACAATTACAATTACTAATTAACATTTAGCAGCAAATGGAGACTGTTCAAATTACTGGGATAAAGTGCAGTACAAAGTGAGAGTACAGTATGTAGTTTATTATGCTAAAATTACAGATTATTTACTTGATTCTTTATTATGTTAAAGTTAGAGATTATATTCTGGTTAACCGGTGAAGCAACAATGACATTTCCCCACTGCGGGACAAAAAAAGGACCTTGTCATCTTTAAAAGTTGGTTCTTACTGTCTGTGTTTATTTCAAAGACGTAAAAGTTCTTAGTCTCGTCCTTCTCGAAGCCCGCGGTGAAACAAGATGACAAACAGGATATGAGGTCACAGCATGGTGCATATCGGGTTGCCAGATCCTCCATGGGTGGCCTTTCAGACGAGTAAGACACAAATAAATCTCTCAGCGGTGGGCTGCGGGTTCAGGATTGACCAGGCCTGGCTCACAACACATCACCAGAGTTTGATCAGTCAGTGTTGGTTAAACAAGCGAACACCTTTGTGAAGCCTCCACCATCAGCCAGTGATGGGTGAGCTACAGTACTTGATTTGTGTAGTGAGCTAAGCTACAAGCTAATCTACAATAAATCCAGCTACCACCCATAAAAATTTTAGCAAGCTAAGTTACAAAATCCTGTCAAAAGTAGCTTGATACTGTATATTGAAGTTACTTTCAATTAAACAAACTGCAGTTCATGCGATTTTAGTGATAAATACATCTGTCAGTCAGATAAATGTTAAAATTGAGATCATTATTGAACAATAGGCCAAACCACTAAAAACAAACCACAAGAACGCCTTTTGCAATTGTAAGTAAAATAAATGGACACATTATAGCAATGAGTCCTCACAAATTGACATTTATTTCATAAGGACAGTTTTTAATCATCTCCAATAACTCAATATTAGCTGTAGCAGTTTCATCTTGGTATTTCCCTCATGCAGTTGTTTTGCATCCTTGTAATATGTATCTTGTCTTTATAAGTCCTTAAACCCATTAATTGCTACTTTAAAACCTGAACAGTTGATTCAAATGTACCATTTGCTTTGTTCTTGTACTGGAGCAAATAGGAAGCTCAATGAATGTTTTTTCTTTTTTTCTTTAAGGCACCGGGGGTGGGATTAAATAAGTTTTCTTCTTCCCTCTCCTTTTTGAGTATCTGCAAGTGTTTCTTTTGTGTATATAACATTTATAATTTTGTATTATGTAAATGTAGCTCAGGGTTATTCATACACAATTTTGATATTCTACTTTTGTTTCACACTTATTTGCTCGAAATAAACAAACTTTGATTGATTGATTGATCTTCTCACATAAGTGTAACAGAGAGCATCCTTCTGCAGAAGAACATCGGTATATTGTTGTTAAGCTTTTTTCAAAGGTGCCATATCATGCTTTTTGACGTTTCTCTGGTTTAAACATGATTACAGTGCTACTTAGCCTTCATACACATGCCCAGGGAAGTTTTTTCATAGATTCTTCCAAGCTTTAGTTTGAGAGCTTCCTTCTCTAGAGGCACAGAAACGAGTAGTTTCAAATCATGACGTGCATCGATCTAAGAGGTGATTGACAGCGGGGAGAGACTAAACCAGCGAATCAGAGCCGTCTATGGTCATGCAGCCTCTCTCCGAGTCCAGCGTGTGGTCCATAGACTGTAAATATGCGTCTGTGATTTTTTGTGTTTGCTTCATGTTAACTTGGAGAAAATGTGTTTTTGGTGTAAATATGTGACGAGAGTATTTGACCCAAAGACGGAGAATGAGGAAAATGTGGATAAGCTTTGTTCATGGCAATCTGCCTCAAAACCTCGAGTCTGAAATCCGCAACAAAACTTGCAGATGTTTACTGCGAGTGACGGTGACATCAGAAAGACTGTTCCAGAACTACGGTTACCATAAAACAGGACCAACTCAAAAGATCTGGAAAATCTGGAAACCTGGTGTTATTCCAACATAAAAGACTCTAACAGGAGCCTCGGTCTGTGAGTGGCGTCACTAACTCGCCATATCACTGTGAACTAAATAATTAGGGTCTGTAACTTCCTGTTACTCACATGGCAATTAAAGGATTCTGATTCTGGATGGAGGACATGGGGCTCTATGTGACGGATAGCCATTGTTGGAATAATTCTCAGGTGTGAAATAGCAAATGTACAGTTAGCTTTTGTTTACCTTGAACTTAGCATGATGCGACGTCACTGTGAGGGAGGCGGGCTCACAGACAGAGGAGCACAGATCCAAGCGTTTCACATGAGGTGACATCAACTCTATGGGATGGACTGTGAAAAATGAGAAAAAGCGAAAAATGGAACCTTACAGGGTCATAAGGAATCCTTAAAGGTCACATACAGAATTACTGGTTGAATAAGATCAAAGTCAAACCCACACCATGGTTCTCTTTTACAGTCGTTGTAGTCGCAGTAGTAGACTTGTGTAATTATTGTGATTATTGTGTACACAAAGTGATTAAGTATTTAGACATGCATGTTGTATATTATGCAGGCCAGGCTTGCTGAAGACCCCGAGTCCAGCCCTGTGTCTGTGAGAGGTCTACCTCTAAAGTGATTGGTTCTCAAGACCCTGAGCTCTCTCTCTTCAAATGGTGCGGTAGGAGGCCTTTGCTGCCACACACTTGTCCTTGTTCGTGTCCGGGTGTCCGTTCAGGTCCCACCACCTCCAGCGTGCGGGACGGACCTGGATTTATTGTTCCTTGGACTATTGTTTCTCGGATTATGGTTCCCTGGATTCTGTAACAGACTATGGACTATGGAGAGACGATGACAGCCAGAGCTTGGTGTTCAAACTGATCAATGAAGTGCACTATTGTAAATATTGTATATATTGTACATACAAAATTTCCCCTTCAACTAAACTAAACCGGGTGGCATGCAAACTTGTGTCCTCTCTTTGTCAAGCACAACCCTTTCCTCCCAGAGGGACGAACCATTATTATAATTTTACTTTTGAACTTTATTACAAGTGTTACACTTGTAGTTTCCGCACTACCCAAAATTGTTAAGACATATTGATGCATACGTAAACTTTTCATAATATCGTATCTACAAAGCAGCAACCAGTCAAGGAGCAAGAGGCAGATAGGTGAGTATTCCAATTGTACACACACTATGATATTTGCATAATTATATGTTAAATACTTATTTTCTGGTTTGATTTAAAGTTGTTCATGTGTTTTTTAAAATCACTTTGTAGAAGAAAGACCCTGCATGATATATTATCGCCTAGGACGCCTGAAGTCCTAGGGCCGGCCGTTCAAAAAGCAACACATTACAGTCATTAAATTAATTTAGTCACACGTTACTCCCAACACTGACCATAACAACACTTTATTTATAGTCCCAAATGTAGCATGGATCTGCAAGGGCACCATTTCCTGTGGCCCCTGTCCTTGCTGGGGCCACACCTCAGGGTCTGTGTTCTTCCGATGCAGCGAGGGATAAATAATTAATGTTCTGAGGCGATTTGGAGGAAACGGGAAGCTGTGTGTGGTGCAGGGAACACACATTATTATTATTATCATTATTTTAGGTCACGCCTCACTGCATTTTTAGAATGGAATCCTAGTATTTTTATTGAGATACTGTTATTTCCTCACAAATAACCTGTTGTGTGTCACCAAAAAATGTAAATGTTGTGAACAAACCAGGTCAGTAGGAGGAGGAGGTAAGATAACAGGCGGCTTTCGGGGCTGCGTCTCCTGATGAGGGGATATGTCGTCACTCACTCAGATGCTGCTGGGTCAATAATTTTAGACAAGAAATTACTCAATTTCTGTAGTCTCTAAAGTCTATAGGAGCCTTAGATCCACTGTACATGTGGGGACCTTTTATTACATGGTTTGATACACAACCCGTATTCACAACCTGATTGGCTCTTGGCTCAACCTCTGCCAATGAAGAGTTATTTTAAAACCCACGCTTTTACCATTTGTTTTTATTACACAAATCGGATGGATTTACGCGCCTTTTAACAGCTGTGCCCTAAAAGCATTATTGTCATGACATTTTATTCACGTCTGAATCTGAAGCTGCCTGCATAGATGTTGGTGCAGTTCTACACGGCCATCATCAAATACATCCTCCTCACCTCCTCCGTCACCGTGTGGTTCGCTGGAGCCACAGTCAGGAGCAAACAGAGACTACAGCGCATTGTGCGCTCTGCAGAGGAAGTGATCGGCCGCAGCCTTCCATCGCTGCAGGACCTGTACGTCGCCCGAGCTCGAGGCCGGGCTGGTCGTATCACAGCCGACCCCTCTCACCCTGCACATGGACTATTCCAACCACTCCCCTCAGGCAGGAGGCTGCGGTCCATCAGGACTAGAACCTCCCGCCACAAGAACAGTTTCTTCCCCTCTGCTGTTGGACTCTTGAACACTTCTTAACCTGTCCCCCCGCCCTTTATAAAGTCACTTTACTTCACTGTACTGCTGTTACCTTACATTGTGTGCACCATGTGCACTTGTATATTGTAAATAGTAACTGTAACTCTATTTTAAATTTTAATTTATTCTTTAGAAGTGTTTTTTATTCTTTATTTTTATTATCTCTTTCTGACTGTTGCACTGAGCCAAAGCAATTTATAAGTCTGTGACTTCCTGTTACTTACGTGGCAATAAAAATTATTCTGATTCTGATTCTGATTCTGATCTGCTGGTAGCAAGCCGGCTAACTTCCGTATACAGAAACCATGGACACAACACTTCCCCCCACTAACATTTACAAAGAAATGTATAAGTCACAACTCACTTCATCCAGCTCCATAATCAAAAAACCCGTACATACCATGTCACCCGTAGAGGCCGAGTTTAGCCTCCGTGCTCTTCCCGGATCCTTTGCCGCCTCGTCCAGTCCCGGAGCCAACGGTGCCTGGCTGTCCAGTCCCAGACCATCATCCCCGGAGCCAGAGCAGCCTGGAGCAGAGACGGTGAGACCGCAGCGCGTCCATGTCTACCCGCGGCGGAGGAGGCAGTCCGCAGGCGCTCTGTGGGCACTCCAAGCTCTGACCCAGCACGAGCCCCAAGAGCCCGGACGCTGCGCGGGACACAGTGTGGAGTCCTCCTGCGAATGCTGCTTCTATCAAAAATCGAAAGATATGGTTTAAGAAGAGTTGCCTATGACTGGAAAAAAATCTATCTTTGTGCTAGAGAACAATATGTTCGAAATAAACAATGTAAAATGAAAAAAGGGCTTAATAATCAAAGGAGTCCCACAGGGCTCAGTCCTAAGTCCCAAACTGTTTATTTATATTATTCAGTAATATTTTATATACTGTGAGCTTCGTAAGGGGTGGGCAGCTCAGTAAATTATAGACCCATTGCACTGGCCAATATTGTGGCTAAAGTTCTGGAATATATTTCACAACTCTGACCATCACCAACCATTCACGCACACAAGACTCATTCTTGACAATGTGGGTGAAGTATCTTTCCTGAAGAAACAACGATAGTTTGGCTCTTTACAGCCGCCCCACTGCAACACCTGGCATTCTCAGAGGTCTTTCATCACAGTACTAACCAGGCCCCGCCCTACTTAGGTTCATAAGTCTGGCGGGATATGGCTTTTTCTTGCAAGTTTGGCCAAAATGATGCATAAAATTTGCAGAGAAAACAACGGCGATCTAACTTAATTATTAAATGCTCGTCACAGGCAAAATATGTGGTGAATATAAAGGAAAAGATGCATGAATAAACGTAAGGCAGAAAAATAGCAACAAATAGATAAAATACTATAATAGCTGTCTCTTCTGTTCACGTGGCCCAGTCGTGTACTGCACGCTCAGTGTTTGTGAACAAAAACTACGACAGAAATGTGGTTTTTGAACGTGATGCTGACCACTTCAGTCCAGTCCTTCTGCTCGTTCTGATGCTTTTAATGTTCGCACTTACCTGCAGTGTTCACCTTGTCCAGTGCTTTGGGTTAGAACAGCTATACAGTAAATGCAGTAACTGATCTGCCTCCTGCTGGTGGAAACATGTACTGAAGTTACTATAAAAACACTAAATGCCTGAAAGACTAAAAACTCCTCATGTGCTTTTACCTCCAGACGCAGAGTCGAACAGAATCATCCCAAGAGCAGTTGATTTTCACTATTTAAACAGCCAGAGCTCAGGATTCTTTTCTGTTGCAGCAATTTCACATTTTACACAACAAAATTCAAGGTGATAATTGCTTGAATTCAGTGATTTTTACAGTTTACGTTCCAATGATTCTTACCTCATGAATGTTCCACGTGTCCGGACGGAGCTGGGAAAGCAGGCATTTAGTTATTCTGCTCCCGTTGCATGGAACAGTCTGCAGTCAGAACTGAAGTGGTCCAAATTGTTTTCGCTAAACGTATTTCGTTCACTTCTATTTAAAAAAACAGCTCTCAACCTTTGCCAAGTGCTCATGCTTTTAAGCTTTAACTTGTCATTTTATTGCCTTAATTTCTAGGATTATGTAAATGTTTTGTATTTTATAGTATTATAGTATTGTTTTATTGTTGTGTAAAGTGCCCTTGACGTGTGCTTCAGACCTCTTGGCCAGGACTCCCTTGAAAAAGAGATCTCGATCTCAATGGGTATTTTCCTGGTTAAATAAAGGTAAAAAAAAAAAAAGATATCTTAATCTGAGTACATTAAATTAACAAGATTTGCCAACACGACAAAGCCATTTGTTGTTATTTCAAAAATGTTCTCATTCCAGGGGAGACATTTCTTGTACCATTGTTGCTTGTCTGATTTCCAAATCTTTTTAAGGCAGTCAAAATGTGCTCAGATTAAAATACATTTGGCCAAATTTGAGCCATTTTTTTTTTTGCAGTGTAATGGTATGATAACTGCAACAGTCCTAAAGAAGATGAAGTCTCTTCCCCGGTACAGGACCTACTTGTGTTAGCTCCTCCGCTGGCTCCTCAGTGTTCTCCGGTGAATAGCAGTGGGTAAAGCTCGGCTGATGCGGCTGTGGTCTGCGTGAAGCGGATGAATGGTTGATGGAGTTGGGATTAGGACTCATTCAGCTCCACTGCCTCCAGGCTGTTTCTCTGAGCCCCACGACAGAGACAGCCTTTGCCTGATCCCTCCACCATTACACACTCATGCTGCAGAAACAAAACCTGTCTCTGAGAAAGATAAACATTATGAACACATCAGTTAGAAACATTGAGGATTAGTTCTGTTACACTGCAAAAGATGGTGAAAAATAAGTCAAAAAATGCTATAAATTGGCAAAATGTATCTGAATTTGAGCACTGACTGCCTTTAAACAAGATTTGCCAACGGGGAAAAAACAAAATGATCTTGTTTTAAAAAGATATGAGAAAAAGTCTCCCTTGGAATGAGAAAAATAAAGCCAGATTTTACAAACAACACTAAATGGCTTTGTCCCGTTGGAAAATCAAAATAAACTCATATTGGTTGGTTTACGCAGTTATTACCTCATATTTGATCAGATTTTGCAATGTATTTTCAGTGTTCTGCGGTAACTTTATCCTTGTGTTTGTGTGCGTGTATGTGTGTGTGTACATTATATAGTGGGCTTATATAATGGGCTGACCACATTGATCATGTTAATTTGCAAAAGCAATTTTTTTATAATTACGCATCCCACTGTTCTCTTTTATTGCACTAACACAAGCTGCAAATATATGAATTGGAAAGTAATTAGACTTTTAGACACTGTGATTATGGCCTTTTTACATGTTTTAAAATTGTGAGGTAAAACAATGCAAGACAATAACAAGAATACAAAATATTTGATAATTTTGACAACCCAAATAGACAGACACCTGATTCATAAAGTTTCTGGATTTGCCACGTCATGTACAGTATTTACACTCCTATTCCTTACAAATGCAAGTTTATTTGTATAACACAGTTCATACACAAGGATTGACTCAAAGTGCTGAACAAGACAAGATAGAAACAATCAGACAAGGCCTTCAAATCATATATAATCCCAGTACATTACAAAGAGTGAAGATAAAAATCCCTCAGTTGTAGCACAGCTAAACAGAACTGTTTTAAACTGGATTTGAAAACTGTCAGAAAAGTAGCCTGTCTTACATTTTCAGTATGACTGTTCCAGATTTTAGCTGCATAAATCTGAAACGTTTAGTTTTGACTCTGGGACCAGCAGGAGGCCAGTCCCTGCGCCCCTCAGAGTCCGGGTCGGTTCATATGGCACTAACATGTCTCAGATGTACTTTGGTGCATGGCCATGGAGAGACTTGTAACAAACAGAGCTGTTTTAAAGTATTTTCTCTTGAGCCCAAGAAGCAGAGACCTGAGACCAGGACTAATGTGATGGTACTTCCTGGTTCTACTCTGTTCTCGAGCTCCAGTGTTTTGAAAATACTGCAGCAGTTTTATAGCTGTTAACACTTACAGTATAATGTGTAGTTTGATAATCTGTCCACTACCTGCCGAGGAGAAAATCAGCATTCATAAAGCCGCGTCTGGCTTTGGGCCCTGGGAGAATCGTCTCTGTGGGGGGTCTGCCTCAGCCTCAGCTGGAGCACAAGTGGGAGGTAGAGGTTACCGAATTGAGATGGTTCACTCCAACACACCCCGGGGTTTCTCACTCAGAGTGGGTGCATCTATAGTGGTGTATATACTGTATATTTGTACTCCTATTTGGAACAATACTTTTCATTCATAGTAAATGTTGTTTCATTTGTTTTAAATGTGTAAGTAGATTCAATAATATCTTAAATCGCTGTATTATTTTGAAACAATATATTGTCCATCTGAATGTGTAATCGCCTCAGGCCGAGCAATACTTTTGTTAACCTTTCCCAGGACCTGAACTAATGGAACAAGTTTTGGGCTTAACCTTTATATTGTTTGTGAGCAGCCTTTTCCCCAAAAACAAACAATCTATATCAATCTTAATAAATAGTAATTAAACATTGCAAGCCTCTCTGTCTGTCTCTGTCTTTCTCTCTGTGTGGGTCTCTCTATGTCTCTGTCTCTCTCTAGCTTTGGGTCTCTCTCTCTGTGTCTCATGTATTATACACAAACACAAACTTTTCCGGATTGTTGCAGTGATAAATTGTAAGCACCAGAGATGTCCTTGTCCCAGTTCACCTCAAAGCCTGCAGTTCTGCTTCAGGCCTCAGTGGTGATGTTTGTGTGTGTGTGTGTGCGTGTTTGTGAGTTTGTGTGTGCCTGTGTGTGTGTGTGTAAAAACTATTCCAACAGCTTATCTGCTACATGCACATGGATCTATAATTTGTATGTATTTCAAATGCATAAAAATACTATACCAGAGCGGAGTAGTCTATAAACATAATGTCTTTTAGCACTAAGGTTTCTTGAAGGATCCTTTCATATTTGATCTTTGGGGAGCGTCGTTTACCTGGCTACGCTTTAAGTAGCATTCCGAACGTCATTTCAAGACTCCTCTTCAAAACACTTCAATGGCTCTTATTGCCGATAAAAAAAACACCCTACACTTGGTTCGTCTCAGCCTCTCTATCCAGGTATCTACTTCATACCCGTCTCTCAGCTCTGAATATTACGAAGCGAAAAGCAGCCCCCAGCCTCTCCACAATATACATTACACACCGAGCTCCTCTTTGAAATAGCTCCGTGATGAGAATGCACAGTGCTTATTAATTCTCCAGGCGATCGGAGTCGGTGCGAGCGTGTTATGTGCGGCGGACACCTGCTCAGGACCGGCTCAGCTCTGGGGCAGACTCTCTTCAGCCGGGTGGGCACGGTGCTTAAAGAGAATCCAGCCGTCGCCAGGAGCTTTCTCTGTTGTCGCAGTTGGTCTGTTGCCCTTGAATGGGGGCGCACTTGTTATACCGACGCCTATGGGACCAGGAGGCGAGGTAAGTAAGTAAGTAAGTAATGTTTATTTATATAGCGCATTTTACAGACCAAGGTCACCCAATGACCAGAGTTCAGATAATGTTCCAATCATTCCACACACGGTGATGACAGAAGCGAGTTGCCAAACACACTGGTGCAACAAAGCCCCCAATCAACACCATTCACTCACTCTCTCCTTTACATTCATACCTATTGTGCATGTTTTTAGTGATAGGGGAAAACGGAGCACCCGGAGGAAACCTATGCAGACACAGGGAGAACATGCAAACTCAGAAAGGCCCTGTTCCGACCAGGATTCGAACCCAGGACCTTCTTGCTGAGAGTGCTAACCACTCAGCCACCGTGCTGCCCATAAGTGGCTGTGGTGATTCTCTGCTGGTTTGCCTGTTAAGTCCATCATGTTAGACTCAATAAAATTATCTACAATTCTAAAAGTGCGAGAACTGGAGATAGAAATTTGTTGAAATTTTAGGGAAAGCACCGCTCTCACCACTTTTTGAACCAAACACTCTGATCTTATTTGATGAGCACATATCATCAGAATGATTGACAATTGCGAGGACAAATAGTCTTGATGATCCACACAGAAGTAAAATCCTCCTATATACTACTACTAGTAATAATACATCAATATTTGGAAAGTTTAAAGCTGACGATAAAAAGCTGTTTGATAAAAGTGGGGTTTAAAGTGATAGTCTGTAACTCTAAATTAATTACAAATTTTAGGAAATGTGTTAAATTGATCTCCTGGCCTTAAATGTTGATATAAAATAAGTCATTTTAATAATTCTAATATTACGGGCAAGTCCTGCCTTCCCTTCTCTTAGCTATAGTTCAGAATCCACGGTTCCGTCCACGTTAACCAATCGAGTCATGCCAAGGGCTGTCAATCATCGGCGCTGATGCTCGCAGCTGCGCGCATGCTCAGTTGTTTGTTTTCACGGAGCCTCCGAATCAAGCCTCCATTAGGCTCTGGCACTATGTGAAAACTGAACAAAGAATTCTGAACATCTGCGCTGAGGTACTTATGTATATACTGAACCTATATCCATAATCAGATCCTCTGCAGATGTGTCCTATAATGTGCAGTTCATGATAATAGCTTGTTCCGAGTTTGCCGCGATCGCTTTTTTTGTGCATAAAAACATTATTTTTTTCATGAAAACGTTAACAAATAATTTTGAAAACCTCCGTGCATGTGTATTAATAATGTACATGTATAATGTGTTCTCTCATTAACATTTAAAAGTGTTACGGAAACGTAGGTGTAGACCAGTGTTTTTCAACCACTGTGCCGCGGCACACTAGTGTGCCGTATGATATTGTCTGGTGTGCCGTGAGAAATTCGTCTACTTTGTCTAAAAATAACTGCATTCGCTGTTGACGAGCGGTGACTTGTTTTGAACTGTGGAGTAACCATGTAATACTTTTTCAAATCAGTAGATGGCAGCAGATAGCTAAGTACTTTGAAACTGAAAAATTGGATGCGACCACTGGCTACAGATCAGCATTGTGGCGAGAAAGGTAAAATTGGATGCGACCAACAAATGTGGGAGGGAGCGAGACAAGAGCTTTGTGGCGAGTGAGAAGTGAAAGTGATAGAGACGTTTTTGAAAATGAATTATGCCGTTTCTGAACAGGATTAACATCCTCCGCTCTGCCCCGGGGCAGCTGTGGCCGCGTTGTAGTGGTTTAACTATGAAATGTACAATTTTTGTACAACAGCTCTCGCGAACGCACTTCTGAACTGGGTACCGAGCGCAGACCATAGTCGAGTGGACAGAACCACAGACATGCGGACCGGACAGAACCATGGACTCGCGTTCAGGACCTCTCGTGTCCCTCATCCAAAACTCCTGAATTTAAAGCTCGGATACCTAAATTTTTCCCATGCACTAACAATGCATGTTCTTTGTGTGAGTTATTATTTGACTATTTGGGCAGAGAGTGGATTTTCTTAGTTTTTTTCCACACAGTTAGTGCCACTTTATTCCCAAACTCTTGTTAATTGTATCGAGAAATATTAAATAAAGCTTAATGTCAAGGCCTGGACTTAAGCATTTTGATGAGAATAACTGTATATTGTGAATATAGGCTACAGAGTATACTGTATACATTATAAGATAAGATAAACTTTATATATCACACAGAGTATGTACAGTATATATTTTGTTACATTAGTACTGTATACATTTTTACATTTTCTCCTGGAGGTGTGCCGCAAGATTTTTTCAGTAAAAAAAGTGTGCCTTGGCTCAAAAAAGGTTGAAAAACACTGGTGTAGACCAATCAGAAAGGAAGGGGGAGGGAGCTTGGGTCGTATTTTTCAAATCAAGGACCTCTCTGTCTCTCTTTCTGACAAACTGCAGACAATCACTTTAAGTAGTGATTTAAAAGAGGATACTGATGGTGCTAGCCTCATCTCTGTACCTTTTAAGTGTAGGCATTTGTTAACAGGTGGATTTTGAACAGTGATTTGAAGGTTTGAAATGAGTCAGAGTTCCCGATGTGTTGTGGGAGTGAGTTCCAGAGAATGGGGACAGCTGCAGCAAAGGATGGAGGAGGTCAGTGAGGTAAGAAGGGGCAAGGTTATGGAGGCAGTGGTTGTTTGAGGACGGGGGTGATGTATTCTCTGGAGCGAGTATGGGTGAGCAGGCGGGCAGCAGAGTACTGGATGTATTTCAGTTTTAGTTTTTGGGCACTCCCTCGCTTCACAGTTAGAAGGTCCTGGGTTCGAATCCTTGTCGGAGCAGGGCCTTTCTGAGCGGAGTTTGCAAGTTCTCCCCGTGTCCGTCATCACTGTGTGGAATGAATGAAACAAACTCTGAAAAGTGCTTTGGGTGACCATTACTTACTTGTGAAGATGGCTTTCAATCAATCATTAATTTAAAACAAAATGGCAATGAAATAATTAAATGGAATAATTTCAGTGCGGCATAAAAGCATTGGGCTTAAACTCAGTAATGGTACATAACATAAACAGTTTTTTATATTAGAACCCTGGTCAGGGTAGAGGCCTGTCTTACAAACTCAGGAAGGCTGCTCCAGATTTTAGCTGCATGAATCTGACATGCTGCCCTCCTATGTCTAGTTCTGACTCTGGGCACCAGCAGGAGGCCAGTCCCTGTGCTCCTCAGAGGCCCAGCAGGAGGTCAGTCCAGTAAATGGTGGAGGTCAGAGGGGGTAGATGTTGCAGAACGGCAGGCTCTGTTCTGCCAGTCTACCCCAGGGCAGACTTGGCTATTATGATTGTGTGTGGAAGGAATGAATAATGCAATGCGGAGTGTGTTGGACAGGTGACTTCCCTCCCTGTGTCCCTGTCTCTAGCTCCCTCTGCCTCTCTTTCTCTGTTTCCATCTGTCACTCTCTGTCTCCCTGTCTCTCTGTCTCTCTCTGAATGCTCTTTCTGTCTCCCTCTCTGTCTTTTCCTGTCACTCTCTGTCTCTCTGAATGCTCTCTCTCTGTCTCTCCCAGTCTCTCTATGTCTCTATGTCTCTGTCTCTCTCTGAATGCTCTCTCTCTGTCTCCCTGTCTCTGTCTCTCTCTGAATGCTCTCTCTCTCTGTCTCCCTGTCTCTCTGTCTCTGTCTCTCTCTGAATGCTCTCTCTCTGTCTCCCTGTCTCTCTCTGAATGCTCTTTCTGTCTCTCTGTCTCTGTCTCTCTCTGAATGCTCTCTCCCTGTCTCTGTCTCTCTCTGAATGCTCTCTCTGTCTCTCTGTCTCTGTCTCTGTCTCTCTCTCAATGCTCTCTCTGTCTCTCTCTGTCTCCCTGTCTCTCTGTCTCTCTCTCTCTCTGAATGCTCTCTCTCTGTCTCCCTGTCTCTCTGTCTCTGTCTCTCTCTGAAGGCTCTCTCTGTTTCCCCTTGTCTCCCTGTGAACCTGAGGTGTCTCTGAATGCTCTCTCTGTCGCTTCTGATTGTGTCGTATTAGTTTGAGACTGAGCTGCAGCTCGGCCTGATCCAGGTGCAGCATTACGCCTTTGAAGCTGCAGATTCATCACAGAACAATTTATACGATTCAAAAAAGAAATATAATGCATCGTTTTTGGCAATTCTAAAAGGTAATTGGACCATTTACTTTTAGAATGTGAAATATTGCTTTCTGTGTGTAACTCCCTCTGCAACCACCGGAGGGAAGAGTTGAACTTGGATAACTGCCGGCTGCAAATGGCTGTGTTTCCCCGAGAGTAGAGCTCTCTCTCAATGTGGGCCTTCCGTAGGTTTCTCACTTTCTCCCACTGGGTTTTTTGTCTCTGATGCTCGAGGGTCTAAGGCAGGTGTCAAACTCTTTTTGGTCAGGGGCCGATTAAAATAACAGGAACTGGTCGGGGCCGAAACAATAGAAGAGATTTAATTTTCTTATCATATTTTTTTACATTTTGAAGATATTTTAACATGACTTTAATGTGACATGATTATCTCTGTTATTTTCTGGTTTATTCTTTTTAAAAACAAAATGTGTTTATTGTTTACATTGAACCAAAACTAGATCAAATATAAATTAAAAACATTTTATATTGAACTATTTAACTTCTAATTATGTGTTATTGGGTTAAAATGTTAGAATACGTTACATTTGTTTTTTTTCCTGAGAAAAAAAAACCTTATAGATTTATAACCTGCCTTGGTCACCCATTACCATCAATCCTGCTAGTTAATAATAAATAGCTAGTTAATAATAATAATACAAATATTTTAGGGGCCACTAAAAATAGTCTTGCGGGCCGGATTTGGTCCCTGGGCCTTGACTTTGACACCCACAGTCTAAGGACAGGGATTATCCAGAACACTCTACATTCAATATCTATGGACATTGGTCATCTGCCCCTTATGGACCAATGGCTATATTTATTTATCCACTTGGATCTTCCTGGGGTCCATTCCACATTAAAAC